GCTAGCGCAGATAGCCCTCGTGTAGCTTTGCGCGAAATTCCAAAACAAACAAACAAAATAAAACTAAACAAACGTTATATTTAATTGTAAATTAATATAGCACAGACTATCAGTTAAATTGTGTTGTATATCGTGAATATTGTGCATACGGTCCCTAAGATAGATTAATAGTAACTTAATGCTGTTTTTATGAATATTTCAAACTGATGCATGAATACAATCTATATGTAGTATAGCTTAAGTTTTTGTTATTATTTCTTTGTTGAAACTACACATGCTGTTAGTTAATGTCCCTTTGCTGAAACTATGTATACTGTAAGTTAATGTCTCTTTGCTGAAACTATATATACTGTAAGTTAATGTCTCTTATGATTTTAGTACGTAGAGTTTCTGCAAAGGAACATTAGCAAGTAGTACGTACAGGTACAGTTTAAGCAAAGGAACATTAACTTACAGTATATACAGTTTCAGCAAAGGACATTAATTTACAACATTTACAGTTTCAACGAAGGAACATTAACTTACAGTATATATAATTTCAGCCAAGGGACATTAACTAATAGTATATGTAGTTTCAGAGAAGGAACATTAACTTACAGCATGTGTAATTTCACCATAGAGACATTAACTTACAGTATATATAGTTTCAGCAAGTTAGGGCATATTTCCCGAACATGAGGAAAGTTAGTGTCATGATATTTTATTATTTACATATAAGTAAAGCGGCGTTTAATTTTGTCTTCAGATACGTTAAACATAGATTATATTCCAGCAACAGTTGTTGCTCGCGATTAGTGTAAAGCTCACTTATCAAACGGTTTGTCATTAACAGTATTTAGGTAATTCATAAGTTTTATATTGGTACAGATGACTTCCAGCTCAGTAACGAGATGAATCTTATGGGTTACCATTCATCAAGTCCGCTCACCAGCTGGTCGCCAGGTGATCAAAGACTGCTGGCCCCAGTAACTGTCACCAGGAGGTAAGTAAACCGCCACCTGCTGTAGATGTGAGCTATCTATTTCTAAAAATAACTCGTAAATAATCAGCTATAGATACAGTGCATTTTTTGTAATTTCACTCAAGTTCCGGGATCAGGTAAATGGTGTGTGTACTACATAAATAATAACAATCTACCTGTTTTAATTTTAATAATTATTTTCTTTAAAACTTATCATATTGCACCGCCACTACATACACACACACATAAGTATGTAATTTCCTAAGTTTACTTAATTGTATACTCGGCTATAATATCACGATAGATATCATTAAAAAGTAGTCGCTAGTATATTACCGCCATCTGCTGACCATTATAGACATAACGAATTCATTTTGTTTAAAATATATTATCCTAACAACGTATTTACATGAATGTTGGACTAAGTTAATTCAAAATTTGCGATTTATTCATTGTATTAAGAGGATAGTTGGCTTGGCTTAATACTATTTTAAGCAACAATGGTCTTTCACAATAAAGAACACAAAATATGTTGTTGTTGTTGTTCTTGTAAGAAATGTCTAGTTTTGAACATTTAGGCATCTTTGATTTCTTCATTTCAGCTCTCATGGGATGGCCAACGGATCACATCACTTATCAGTCAGCAGCACCCCCCCTCCATCATCTAACTCGCCCCATCAAATAAAGATTAAAAGTGAGCCCGTGTCTCCTCCCCATGATATCACCCTTTTGAGACCCTCTTCAATATCCGATCAGTTTTTGTCAGGTGATCCACTTAGTAATGCTTCATGTTCGTCACCTCCTGGGTGTGGACAGTTTGAAATGACATCAGTTAAACGGCAGCGTCTTTCCGCAGATGTGTGGACTACATAGTTTGTTTCTTGGGGGGTAAATGTTATATTTATATAACAACACAATTTCCCCGCTGTATTCACCACGACTGAAGTTTGAACAGTTCTGCATCGCTAGCTGTGTATCAAACAAATTGTGATCACCCAGTGTTTTAAAGTAAGCGGCTTTATTTTAGGAAAGTTGACAGTCAGCAAGTGATGTTCTCGAGCTTTAGGTCTCTAATTAACCAGATTTGTGTTTTGGATGTGATTACCTGGTTCGTTGTTAAAACAAGATACATATATTCACCACACCTGTGCGAGATTGTTTCGAGTCGTTAGATACCCCCCTCCCCCACTCTTTTTTGTTTCTTCTGATGACGTTAATTGTAGAAGGAAACTGGAAAATGATAGTGTATTTGTACGATAAACTACACTGTCTCTTAATCTGGCCAGTAAAGGAGTTTTGTGGAGATGGAAAACGATGAACAGAAGCTGTCTTATTGCTACTCACACGCTGCATCTGTTTACACACATATATGTATCATAAATATTCCCGAATTCTACTATCGAAGAGGGGAAAAAAACTCGAGGAAAGTACATTTTCTGTCAATGTGTACCTTGTACTACTGGCACCTGTGCTAAAAATCCTCATGTTTTTGTTCAGTTGTTTTATAGGGAGACAGTCTGATGTTTGTTTTGGCAGTAATGCTTAGGAGAAGTGTATCTGTAAAACAAAAAAAGTTGGAACCAAAGTTTATTGAATTCTTTACATTGTTGATGGATGAGTGACGTGTGCGTTTTGAAGTAGAGAAGAGCAGAAAATTAACTAAACGATTAAGTTAGCCAATCAGGTGTAGGATTTGTAAATTAGAAAAAAAAAGAAGAAACTATAGATTAAATAATATATTTAAAGTGTTGAAAAACAAGAAGATGCCTTAATAATTAACATTCGAATATTTAAGTGTATGATGTTTCACATTACAGTATTGTTATGTTTATAGTGCTTGTTTAGCATGTAAAAATAACATATATATATATGTATTTATTTATATCACATATATAATACGTAAAACTATGTTAATGAAGAAATGAGTAATTTACGGTCACTAGAGTACTGTTGCCGATCTGTGAGTAAGGTTCTGGAAAAAAACAACTAATTGATTGTTTGTGCATATTGTTCTTTTTGTGCATTCGTATAATTACAGTCTTTCACGTGCACCTTACAAAACTGTGAAATAGTTCGGGAAATTCTTACTGTTGTAAAAAATATAATACATTTTATCCCCAACAGGTGATGGACTTGTACAAAAAACAAAGTAATATAAGAATACTAAATTTGTGTAATAAATTAACAAAATGAATGGTATAAATTTGGTTTCAACCATCATGATATTGAAGCTGTTTCTAAATTTAATGACTAATGTTTTCGACATTCATTTATCCTTGACTAGACGTAACAGTTGAAAACAAATTTATAAAAATGCTAGTCGACAAAAATGTTATATACGTTAGAATACTTCATATATATGCATTTCAAAATTTTTAAGTAATCAAGTTAGAAAAATGACTTAGTTTTAATCATTTCATGATTGTAAAGGAATAAAGAATAGCGCTAAAGCCGTTGAAAACGTTAAAAGCTATTTTGTTTTTATATTATGTTATAATGGAAGCGACAGGCGTCATTTATCCCTTAGTGAACCAAACGACTACCTACGTTTAACGGCTAAGACTTCTGCTGACCAGTGTTGAGTCATTGAATATTAACAACACGTGGGTTAGTGTTATAAAATGCCTCTGGAGAAGTCGAAAATGGAGAAATGTTACAAAATAGAGATAAATCTGAAATTTTAGTTGTTTTGTTTCGTCCAAGGCAATAATCCATTCCGCTAATGGTGATTTTTCACAATTAAAGAACGCCTCATAAAGATATATAATATTATGTTCTTTACAGATTTGATTTCAAAATAATTGCGAGATTCTAAGTAAAACTGACAAAACTTGTAGGGTTGAAATAAAATACTGATAAATTTTATCGACATGAGATGGATAGTTCTTTTAAAGTAGCACGGGAAATACGACACTTAAACTCAAACAGTTATTTTCTTTCACCATAGGAGTTTTATATCAAGATAGCATATTTCAACTGTCTTAAAAAATTGTTGAACTGTATAGATAAAGAATTGGATCAGATAGTATATCTTCACAGTTATCTGAAATAAGAATAAACGAGTTTGTGAATAATAGTGTTTGTGCTTTTGCATCAGTTGTCATTTGGGGAAGTGCAAGAAAGAACGAAAAAAAAAATAAAAAAAGAAAAACAGAGTATTATTCTATATTCAGTGCCGCCATCTATGAATACGATTTCGTACAGAAGTAATTTGGGATTTTAACAATCTTCGTTCGGATAAGCCATAATGACTTGTTTGCACTTAGTTTTTGCCATAGGTGAATTTGAATGGTTACACGTATATGATAGGAATCTTCAAATGTGTGTATTTTTATTCATTAAAGGCAGACAAGACTCTTAAAACTCTATTTTTTAGTCGGTTAATTTTTGATCGAAATATAACTTGTAATTGTTAATAAGATCTTAGGTTTGAAAAGACAAAATGTTGCACGCGTACATTGAGTGAATCGTGTTCATTAGTTTAATTTTTTTTTCATGTGTAGATCGCCAGTTAATATAAACTGTATTTTGTTCTTCTTTAATATATTTGTTGTGTTGTAAAACAAAAAGTGTTACACTTGATCGTGTATGCTTCTTCTTGCGTCCACTGTAAAATGTCTTTACCATTTTGTTTATATTACAAAAACGTTGGCTTTTTGATGTGGTTTTCAATAAACTAGTCTGTTATCTTGTGTTAAAATTTTCATGTGTATTTTGTTGTTGAAAGACGGGATAATAATGAATATTTCTTTCATATAATGCAAAATAAACAGTCTAACGACTTTTTTTTATGGAATCCGAAAAATATTACTATAAATGTATGGATTTAATAATGCCTCCATTAATTAACACCAAATTAACTTTTTTTTTTGCGAATATCAATGTGATTTGAATATCATTTCTTTAAAAAATCTGCCATAGTAAACAGTTCTTTAATGAATAAACACACTAACAAACTGAAACTGTATTTCGCATAAACAGTAAAAATGATCTCAGTCTCATTGTATGCATTATATTAATTTTGTTAATTACAAATAATTAATTACGATAATTGTACGTCTGTTTACATTTGCGGTCATAATTTGTTTCTCATTTGAAATTACATGATACATATTTCAAAACTACAATTTGTGAGTTGATAGAGGATAAGGTGAATTTACTGAAAGATATACAACCAGGATTCTGTAACTTATCATCCGGTTCTTTTTCCAATACTGTAGCAACTCTGTTAACAAAAGCAAATGAAGCTGTTTCTATAGCAAGAGGGTCGGACGCGTTACCATGAAATTTAATTCCTGGAATTTGCAAGAAAATAATTATGTGACTAAATCTTTCAACTTCTTAAGTACCGTTCAGGTGCTTTTAAGATAAATATAGGGATAATGTGAATACTAAACAGCCATTGACAATATGCCATCATATTAGAGAGATGTTAGGGAACTAAACACTTCATAACTTCAAATCTAAAATAGATTAATTAGCAGATTATCGATAATTAATATAACGATAAAATATATGTATATAAATTAATTAATTAATTAAATACGTGTCGCAACCTTTGTTGCAAGATACATTTAATGTGTAACTGAAGAAGTCATATTGAATTTTACCGATAGGCACACAACAATTTTGATCTATATGAACATTAATGGCAAGAAAATCCAAATGAAGTCTTTATGTAACTTTAGTTTTTTAAGTATTTATAAAGAGTTTATAGGCACGTGTGTAATTAGATGTAAGTAGATGTACATGTGCATATAGACGATGATGTACAAGTAAACTAGGATCACTTATTAAAATTCAACTTTATGTTTTCTCCCAGATACACTTGAAAAATGAATAGCTAAGCAACTGTGTTCCATTCACGATATCCTTTTTTATAATAGTTTTCTAAATGTTGTTAGAAATTTGACATCCTATATTAATTCACATTTATCTGTGTATTTATATATTTGTTTGTTCTCGTAATCCTCCCACAGTTTTGGAGCTAGCAGAACCAAATTTGGCAATCGGACTCGGGTGTGTGTGTGTCCTTTTCTATATGGCGTAGCCTTCCTACCAAAGGGGCTAAGCGTCCGTGGAAGGTCACCCAGCTACAGTCTTGGCAAAATCTTTGCATATTTTGTAATAAATAAGATCATTATTATTAAGATAAAATACAAATACACTTTGTCAAGTTTTTATATGGCCGGATTCTTTATAGTAGGTGTCTGTGACTTATTGACGATAAATTTCAACAATAAACGGACAGCACACAATCCATTTGATTTAAAATAATAAAGTAAAACAAGTCAAACATATGTACAAAACTTCGTTACTCTATTGGTTATCACAGCTTTATCCAGAGTTTTAAATAACTGTCTCTTTTTCGTCAAAATCCACACAGATTGATTCAAATAATTTAGAACACCCTTTAACAAGTCAAATTACTCTCCTCTATTTCTGTTATTACAATACAAGCTGTGATACTTTCACTTTATAAATCGCCATTATACGCTCTTTATGGCTAAAATTGAAAATAATGTAGTCTAACTTCACTTTTCTAGCTTCTTCTGTATCTGCACGTATTTATCACACGTGACAGAAAAATCTAGAAATATCTAGCCCTCTAGTAACAACAATATTACACATAACGAGAAAAACTCAGAAGCTTCGAGTAAGATGATGTCAACAATATTACAAAAGCCTTGTACAATTAAACTACATACACAAGGTACGACTCGTACAGAGTTACGTAACGAAACTTGTCATAACTATCATTTTTAAGATAATTAACTTTTAACATTGTTGTTATGAAGACTAAATAATCATTAAATATTAAATCACTTAATAAACTATATAATAACTCTTAAACTGAGCAGTCTTGTGTATCCAACACACTTAGCACTGTCAAACTGAGAAATACATGTTATATTAAACACATACATATGTAATTTGTACAATGAGACAGGTTCTATGGACATCATAAACGATTTATTAGAACCGAAAACAATTTTATCAGACACCTGTAGAAAGATGTGTAATTCAGAA